ATTTCTGTTCATGAGGCTTGCCTAGTGGTGGGGGCGACCCGCCATGCTGACAGGAAGGACTTGGCGTGGCTGTAGTGGCCTACAAACTGAAACTCTTGCCAATTTGGGCCGAAATTTAGTCATTTTTTGCCCCTGAAAGTGAGGCAAACCAAAATGAGGGTTGGGCATATTTTTTTTCGTAATAAGCATTCAAAAACAAACAAATCCCAGTTTCGTTTTTGAAAATCGGTCAAAATATGACCAAGTTACGATTTTTTTCTATTAATAACACTGTTAAAAACTTTGAGGGCTTTGAGGAGGTCCTAAAAATCATTTTTTCGAAAAAGGAAAACACACGTATTTCATTTTTTTCGATGTAGAATCCAAATCCGGGCGGCGTTGGACGATCCGAGCAACTTCATTTTTGTGTTTTTGGACCACCCTACCCCTGCTCACCTTTGCTCAAAGTTGCCTGGAGAAATTTTATCTGGGGCAGTCCAGGGCTCGTTGTGGTTTGTACAATTCTCGTTGTACTTTCTACAATCCCTGTTGTACTTTTGTTGTACTGTATCCACACTTTTTCTTGCAGTGAATGCATTTAGAAGGGCGGGAGAGGGGGGGGGAGTGGAGCGCCGGTTTAGTGATTCTTTTTGTTTTTCTCTCGCCGTTCGCCGACGGCTAGAACGCTCTACGACGCACAGACCACACTGCAATGCCAGTGGTAAGTTTACTTGCCACGAATTTGGCAAGCCGTTTGGAATGCCAAAATTTGGCGAGCTTGGCCCGGAAATGCTCCCCAGGTAGCCAAAATTTGGCAAGCTTATGAAGAGTGCCGACAAAGCTTTCCAAATTTTGGCATTCAAAACGCCTTGCCAAATTTGTGGCAAGCAAACTTACCACTGGCTTTGCAGTGCAGGGAGTGGAGACAGGGCCGGCCGGTTTGGCTGTCCTCGGTTTGCGCACGTCACGTCCGGACTAGAGTCCTAGAGTGGGGGAGAAAAGTCAATTGCGAGAATGCTAGGCGCACTTTGCCATACTCGTCATTTCCGGACCGCAGAGCCGGTTTCCGTTTTCCGGAATTAAAACACCATTATTGCGAAAAGACGCACCTTCGCAACTCGCTAGTGTCACACGACAGACCAACGACCCGAACGTAAAAATATTTCGTCTGCCGTCAGCCTCCCCTAGTGAAACGGCGGAAACGACGGTCCGGAAACAAGCCCAGCGGTCCGGAAGTGACAAGTATGGTAGATTTCGCTGTCAGAAGGTGGGACACGCATGGCGTTTCTCTCCAACTCTAGGACGCTAGTCCGGACGGCCGGGCGCCTGCAAGCCACAGGGTAGGCCACCCGTCCGGCACCCGTGTTGCACGGGACTGCGGCCCGCGCGTCCGCAGGCTGAATCCCCCCCCCCCTCTCTCTCTCTCTCTCTCTCTCTCTCTCTCTCTCTCTCTCTCTCTCTCTCTCTCTCTCTCTCTCTTCTCTCTCTCTCCACTCTGACTCTGTCGCACTCAGGGAGCGTCACGCAGGTGTGAAAGAGAGGGAGGGAGAGAGAGAGAGAGAGAGAGAGAGAGAGAGAGAGAGAGAGAGAGACGAGGCACTCTTCAACCATATTCACTATATTCGCACTGGCACAGGCTCATTACTCGCTGTCGTCGCAGTGAGCGGGGAGCGAGGGGAAAGGGGATGGGAGAGATGGGACGGGTGAGAGGGGGTGGGGGAGAAGGGGCGAGGCGAGGGGGTGGGTTGGAGGGGCGGAGCACGGAACCAGGCCACGGAGCCACGGAGTCACGGGGCCACTTGCGGGCCCGCATCGGCTGCTTATACGTTACGTATGCCACTTTTATTGGTGGCGGCACGTCGGCGGCGCGTCGCGTGGCGGGGCGTGCGAGGCACCGCGCGCACACTGGTATTCCGAGAGCCGTTTTCGTCGCTCCGTCTCTGCCGCACTCACGGGGCGTCCCGTATACGGGAGCGAGAGAGCCGGAGCGACGAACGCTCTCGGCATCAGTCCAGCCGCGGCCTCCATGCGGCGCGGCATGTCGCAGGGCCGTATTCAGGAAAGGGGGAGGGGGGCGGCACGCGGCGCACGGTACGGCGCACGGTAGCTCAAGGTGGCCGGGGAAACTTTTCGCGCGCTATGGGACTTCCCCCCTCCCCCACCCTCACAGTCACACAGGCCCCTCGGCGGTGGGCCCCGCTTGCTTAACCTCACGTTTAGCCTGTCGCGTCGTCTTCGGCGCAGATCCATCGGGGGCGGTCCGGATGGATAGTGAGTGACAGTCCCAAACAGTGCCTTGCGTCGCGCTCTCTCTCTCTCTCTCTCTCTCTCTCTCTCTCTCTCTCTCTCGCACTCGCGGGGCGCGAGAGAGACGGAGTGCTGATCGAATCGGCGCGCGGCAGGTTAGGCAGGCGACCCCCGGGGACGTCGCGTCCGCTGGAGAGAGCACACTGCGAAAACCAAGTGTGGAGAACGCGACACTTGAAATGCGCAGGCGTGGAATTCGCAGTATCCGCCTTTTGGAAGGGCACAGTTTGCAGTCTGCACACTTCGAGTGTGGGGTTCTCTCCGTTTTTGCACCATGCCAACAGTAGGGGCTCTGTGAGGTGAGCTACTCGACAGTCACTCGTGTAAATTTTGTCAGAATGTCAGAAACATGTCTGAAATCCTGATCAAAATTCGCGCACCTCTGAAAGCTGAAATTCTGAAAACTTATGCAGATATTGATGGCCTGAGTTCTGCAGAATGTCAGAGCATGTTTTCAGCTTTTAGAGGTGCGCTAATTTTGATCAGGTTTTCAGACACGATTCTGACATTCTGACAAGATTTACACGAGTGAAGTGCGAATAATTAATTACTCGGGCATGGAATTGTGGAGTTTTCCCCTTTTTGATGACGTCGGGGACGTCCACCAGGGCGCAACGCAGGGCGCCGCGCAAGCCGGGCAGCCCCTCTGTTACCAGTAGGCTCAGGCTGATTCCAAGAATCGTTTCGGTCGTTCTGTTTCTCTCGCACCAATGCAGCACGACTAGATGCGAAAGAGACAGAGCGACGGAAACGACACTCGGCACCAGGTGCGGTCTGCTCAATGTGTGCCCGCCAGCGTTTTAGAGGGTAGTGAGGCTCCGGCCTTGGCAGTCCGTTCGCCGAACCTTTCTCCCAGCACAGCGCACAGTGGGCCAGAAGGCCGGCGGAGGCGGCCGAAATTCCGGACGGGTTTTGAGCTCCAGAGTAGCTACAGGACTCGAACCAATTAAGCGTGTGACCCCACCAATGGATTGCTCGTTCCATTGGAGCGGTCACACGTTCCGGTCGAGTCCTGTTAAGCGACTATAGAGCTCCAGCGCGTACGGGATCGACCGCCTCCACCGGTCTTCTGGCCCACTTTGCAGTGCAGCACAGCGCCCACAGGTGTTGGTACAGTCACGTTTTGTTTTTGTTCTCCAGCGCCGAGCACCGGCGTGCCTAAAACCGGGCCAAACCGGACTAATCACGCCACATTTCCGAACTTTCCGCGCCCGTCAGCAAAAGAATGAATGAAAAGTGTGCTTACTTTTGTGGGAGGGAATTCCCCTTCCCCTCCTTCTTTCCTCGAGCAAGTCTTTGCGTCGGGCACTGGGCGCGCTAATGCCTCGCTGGGCCTGTCAGACTGATTCCGAGAGTCGTTTTCGTCGCTCTGTCTCTCTCGCACCGATACGGGACGCCTCATGAGTGCGAGAGAGACCGAGCGACGAATCGGGGTGCTGTTTCCTGGATCCGCCCCCTCCCCCTCGTGCCGCAACGAGGACCGCGTCGAGGCAGTAGACCATGGCCATGGTGCCAGTGGCGGTACCACCGTCCCCTCCCCCTCCCCCTCGCGTGTCGCGTGCCGGGTCGCTATTTTGGCGGCGCTCCTTCTCCGTGTTTGTGTGTCTCTGCCGGCGGCCTGAAGCCTGAAGGCGGCCCGCCCCGGGCCTTCCCTCGCGGACTGACTCCGGGAGTCGCCTTCGTCGCTCTGTCTCTCTCGCTCCCAGAGGGGACGACCCGCGAGTGCGACAGAGACAGAGCGACGAAGACGACTCTCGGAATGAGTCCGCTGGCTTACCTGGCTGGCTGCGTTCGCGCCGCGCTCTCGTCGCTCCGTCTCCCTCGCACCCCTGCGGGGCTGCGGCATGCCTTCGGGGCGCCCCGCGAGTGCGAGAGAGACAGAGCGACCACGGAATCGGACTGCAGGGCGCCCTCCCGCAGACATGTCCTGACTCTAGGTCGCAGTCTCGCAGTAGTCCTATCGACTCGACTTCCGCCGACGCCGTGCCGCCGTGCCGCCGTGCCACAGCGCGCCGCCCGCCAAGGCCCGCCCCGCCAGGACCTCCCCAAGGCGCTGTGCGCGCCAACCCGCCATCCAGCCAGCCCCAGTCTAGGCAGTCTTGGCGGCGGCATTCCCCCGAGCTTTTCGCACTCGCGCCCTTTCCGCCAAGTTCCCCGTGCCCAGCCTGCACGCCCAGTCTGCACGGCCGAGGCCCAACCGCGCCGCCCAGAAGCTCCCCGTCGGAGCCGACCCGCGCCGCCTAGAAGCTCCCCGTCGGCGCCGACCCGCGCCGCCTAGAAGCTCCCCGTCGGCGCCAACCCGCGCCGCCTAGAGGCTCCCCGTCAGGGCCGACCCGCGCCGCCTAGATGCTCCCCGTCGGCGCCAACCCGCTCCGCCTAGAGGCTCCCCGTCGGGGCCGACCCGCGCCGCCTAGAAGCTCCCCGTCGAGGCCGACCCGCGCCGCCTAGAAGCTCCCCGTCGGGGCCGACCCGCGCCGCCTAGAGGCTCCCCGTTCAGACCGCTGCGCCCCCGCCGCCGGCGTCCCGGTCACGGTGCCTGACTCCGCGCTGACACCCTGTCCCACCTGTCCCTGACCGCGCCGCCACGCCGCCACCCTCCCCGTCCCGCCCCCTCGCTGCGCCACGCAGCGCTACGCCGCGCCGTTGCCGCCGCGCGCTCCGCAGTGGCGGATCCAGAGCCGGCCCGAGGGAGGGGCAAAGTCTAGAACCCTTTGCCTACTTACAGCGACAAAGTGCAGCTTGTCCTGCCTCTCTGGCGGCTAGCTAGGTTCCTCAAACTGCCTTTTTGCCCCCACTGGATCCGTACCTAGCGCCCCGCGGTCGCTGATTGGTCGCGACGTGCGTGAGTGACGTCACGCACGCCAACATGTCGGCTGTCTGTTTATCAACACGGCCAGCGCGAACTCGCCACCCCCGCCGTGACAGACGCGACGCCAGCGCGTCACGTTTCCTGACTTGAACCGCGACACTGGTCACTGGAGGGCGATGGACGTGCACGCCGCCAACCTGGAGTACTACGACAAAATGCAGCAACTCGAGGAGAGGCTCAGGAGGAGGTTTGTGAGGTTAAACTACTGGAAATGGGGCGTACCGGTGTCTGACTGTCTGACGCACCTGCCGGATTCTGAGTCATCTTTTTCGCTCTGTCTCTCTCGCACTCATGGGGCGCGCCGTTTAGGCGCGAGAGAGACGGAGCGATGAAAACAACTCTCGGAATCAGTCTTCTGTGAAAATGATCGTTTGACATGGGGTACTACTACTTGTCAATGAAAGTGCCTTCGAGCCGGTGCTTGCACATTCTGTTAATATTTAAATCCATTTCCCTTCTCTCTTCTCAATCATTTTGTGAGGAAGGTCACACCAGTTTACTGGGAAGGGATGATCAGTTCTGTTAGTTAATTTGAAATGGCTGACGCTATATTTTTATTGTAATTTTAATAAAGTGCTTTCGAGCAATCTATCTTGTTTTATTTAGGGTATTGGTTTTGCCCTTATTTGACTCTAGATGCAATATATTAGAATTGAATAGCACACCTGAATTTTGAAAAAAAAAAAAAGATAAATAAATTTAGGTTTATCAGTAAAACATGCGCTGTTGCAGTTATTCTTATGTTTGTTTCTTCTTCTTTTTTCCAGTGAAGAAGAAAGGATGCTTCTGCAGCGGCAATTTGATCTTCTTGTCCAGTCAAATCATGATAAGTATGACTTCCCCTCTCCTAAAAATTGTACCAGTTTCATTGCTCTTAAATTACTCGTAAATAATTTTGCTTTTGTTCTGTTTTGAAGGGAAAGAGCTCGTGTGTCTGTTGTTGAGGCACGTTACAAGCGCTTTCTTGATGAAGACAAACGGCGAAGAGACCGCAACAGTAGCCTTCTGCAAGCTTTAGACCGCATTGACAGCCACACTGCAAGCCTTGCAGCTAAAACTGAACGGATGCGTTCACTGAGGGTAAGTTGGGCTCACTCACTCCGTACAATTCGTGTTGTCCTTCTTTCATAGAAAATAAGGTGTTCCGTAAAATGGGGCTACTTTGACCCACCGGGGTAACTTTGGCCCATGGGCTAGAAATTCATTTTAAGTGGTTCTTATTCCATTGGTAGCATATTTAGCCGCTGGGCCAAAGTTATCCCAGTGGGCAAAGTAGCCCCAGTTTACGGTTCTGGGAAACAGATTCCCTTTGACTGAAACTCCTACAAGCTCTTAAGTATCAAAATAATAACTGCCATAAAAACATTTGATTGGTATGGTAGTTTTTTTAACAAGTCTATTTGTTTCTTAAATTGCAGAAACATTATGAGGCTTTCATTGCACACTCTTACCCTGGATGGCAACTGGAATTGGAAAGGCCTTATTGTCCCCTTGCTGCCATAGCACCAGCACCAAATGTCATGGCTAGAGTGACAGATGTCACAGAATATGACTCAAATAATCCTCGATGTTTCCCAGATACGAGTGAGTTCAGTGACACACAATATCATGCTCTGCCTGCCATAAGCCCCAAGCCTTACAGCCCTCTTGCCAGTCCTCTCTGCCGCTCTGAACTTGCCATATCTACTAGAGATGACTTCCCTTCAGTGGGGCGATCATTGTATCGCACAGGCTCAGCAGCAATTAGAAGTGCTTCTTTAAGTCCTTCTAGAGTTCGTGACTTGTCATCTCAATATGATGCTAAGAAGATGACTTCCCCATCAATCAGAAATTATGACTCGTATTCACCATCCAAGATTTCAGAAGTGGGTCTTTCCCCAAGGCTGAGGAATGAATCAAATTTTACTAAAATAAATAATGGACTCTCATCTCCGAGGGAACCGTCTTATCAAAGCAATCTACAAACTTATGGCCAAGATAGGCCAATTTCTTATAGACCATTGTCTACTACAAATCATTGTTTCCTGGACTATGACCATGGCACATCGGAGGCAGATTTGAATACCAGTGGTGACTTGCTGAATCTCTCTAATTTATCCTTATCTGATGATGGAGTTCTAAATGATCCAGAAATCCTTGATTCATCATCACGATTCTCACCCATCAGTCATCCCACTTATACTTCCCCAAGAGACTATGGGTCCTCCAAACAAATTCCGTCAATCTCTCTGTCCATACCCCCAGCCTCAGTCAGGCATCATGTCAGCCCACGAGAAGTCTACATACCAAAAAGAAGTGCTTCACTTTCACCATCTCTCTTCACCAGCCCCTCCCCTAAATCTATTCTGTCCCCACGAAGCAGAAAATCTGATGTTACATCAGACAGTGTTCATCGAATCCTTTATCCATCAGATGCAGACTTTCAAAGAACAGAACCATTATTGAGTCCTAGAAGACAGAAGTCAACTTGGCAAACTCTTCGGCCAAGCTACTTACCTCCTCCATCCAGAAGTACAATCAGGCGATCTGTAACTTTTTCAGAGCCTGAATACGAAACTCCTTATAGTTTGAGAGATGAGGCTGGAAGTCCGTACAGTGGCTCTTATGGTTCTTTGAGAAGACACTCACCATCTTCACCTATTTCAAATTGGGAATCAAGTGATCATGAGCGCTACTTACGTGAAAAACAAAGCAGGGAAAAGGATGCTTTTCGAGAGAAAATAGAGAGACTCAAAGAGCTGATAAAAGAAAATAAAGACCACGAAATGGGCTTCGCATGCACAGATACTCGTTCTAGGAGCCCTTCTTTTCAACCCAAGGTAAGAGATCATGAAAAAGAAAAGTGTGATTCTCTGGAAAGTTCCATTGACCGGGATTGGAAAGCCTCACAGTCTCGTAGATCATCCCTTGCAACTGAACTTGTCTCTGATGATGATGATGAAGAGAACATCTCTTCACCTTACAAGAACGCAAACAAAACAGATGAGCTGGAAAGTAAAAACGGAGTGCATACCTCAAAAATGGATTTTGCTGAAGATGTTTCAGAGCCAATTACTGATAAAGAACACTGGTCAGGTAAATTCAACGAAAAAGATGAAGATGCTAAGGAAAATCTAAAAGCCCCTGAAATAAAGGACAAAGGCACTAAGGATCAATCAGAATCAGAAAAATTAAATCTTGATGATGGTTATGCTTATACACCATATGAGTCAACAGAATTTAAAGAAGGAAAAGAATTTAAAGACACTGAAAATCCATCAACTCAAAGTAAGCAGGAGTCTCAAGGAGAGCATGCACAGCCAAATGATGGAAATAAAATGGATCAGGAACGTGTGAATGACACAGAAGAAAAACAACTTCAAGATGCAGGAAAGGAGAGCTCAGACTTCATCTACATGGAGAGCATAAGAGAGGGTGACACAGGGGAACCACTCTCAGAAAAAGCTATTGATTTTGAACACTCAGACAATTTGCAAAAAGTTGACCAAACTGAAGCAAGCTTCCAAAACAACTTGCCAACCAAAGAAGGGCAGGAGAATTTGAACGAGTACCAAAACAATTACAACTATGAGGCAGATCCAAAACAGCAAGAGTGGGCTACAAATGAAGACGGTGGAACACAAGGGCCACAAAATATGCAGTACGATGACTCAACTCCCACAGGCTATGAGAATCAAAGCCAAAATAATGCAGCACTTGGACAAGAAAGTGGGTTTGAGGGATATCAAACAGAAGGCGGTCAGGAACAACAGAGATATGAAAATTACCAATCTAACACTGCACCTGACCAGCAACCACAAGAAAATTATGGAGAAAATGCTGGGTACGAACAGTATCAAGAGCCCAAGCAAGCAACAGAAACTGGGTACCAGGAGTATTCGGAAGACCCAGGTCAATATCAACAAAATTACCAAGCGTATTCCGAAGACCAGCAGTATAATGAACAACAAGATCCCACCTATAATGCCCAAGACCCAGGTTTTAATTCACAAGATCCAAACAGCTATCAATATTCACAAGACCCAAACAAAAACCAGTATCAAGAGTACAACTATGAGCAGAATCAGGAAGCATATGATTATTCTCAAGACCCCAACTATCAACAAGATCAAGCATACCAGCAGGAGCAGCAGTACCAGTCTGATCAAGCTTACTTACAAGATCCCAATTACTCCCAAGACCAGCAGTATCAGCAGAGCTCAGAATACCAGCAAGGTCAACAGTATCAAGAAGCTGGCTATGATGGGTCTGGACAGTATCAAGGATATCAACCTGGTACGGATGATCTATCAGAGGAAACAACTCCATCTGCTGATTCCAATTATCAAGGTCAAACTCTGGGCGGCGAAGCAAAGGACCAATCTCAAAGTTAGTAGCTACTGGGAAATGACATTCTATTTCGCTTGCTTAACTAATCTGAGACAGATAAGCTTATACTGTATTGCAAACTTACACCAACTAACTTAATTTGTTTTTCTTCAGCTTTGGAGCAGTACCGTGCTTTGCTGGGAGCCGACCCCAGCAGTGAGCCAGGGTTTAGTGATTCCAGTGAAATTGAGAACCAGATGGCTGCTGTGGTTGGACTGGGTGGAAACTCAAGGTAAGGAAGAGTCACTATGAAATCCATAAAAAAACATTCACTAAATGAAATTAATTTTAAATTATTACCATTTTTCTAAAATGAAAATTTGCTTTGGGTGAAGTGTTGTGGAACAAGCCCCAGCAACTTCGCCACCCGTGGCTCCAGCAGCAGCAAAGGGAAAGGCCAAGAAAAAGCCTCAGCTCACCCGGAAGCAAAGCAGCATCACAGCCGATAGTGTAGAGGGCAACGAGCAAAAGACACCGTCTCTTCCAAAGACGCCCGAAGTGAAATCGGACCCAGCAGCACCTCAGCAAAGTGACAGTGACTTTGACATTAGTTCACAGTAGACACACTTTCCCTTTTTACCATTTGGTGCCTTAAAAATGGATTCTTTCATAGCACATTTGTAATGTAGTCAACACTAAGAAGTACTGTTATCATTCCTAAATAACCAAAGAATTTTTTAAGTAACAAGGATATTTTATGTAGCAATATACAGATCTAGTTCATATAAGTTATTCTCTCTCTTCTCCTTTTTACTGATTGTCTTTTTCCCTCACCCATGTTGCATGTGTAATTGAATTGTTTCAGAAGGCAGAATTTTCAATTGTTCTATAAGCACTTAAACAGTTACAAAAAGCTTCATTCAATGTTATGGGTCTAAAGAACGATTTTCATGAAATATGTGACAGCTTAATTGAGCTTATTGGTGAATTTATTCTTTTAGAATTCATAGCCCTTTATAAATGTTGCAAATAAAAATAAATACATGACAGGGCATGTCCTGGCTGGAAATTCTATTATTCTCTCTATATCACATGGTCAGAATAGAAAATTTACAAATATCACTCCCCAGACATAAACATGTGAACATTTCGATCTGAAGACATCATTCGAGAGGCACGCTCGCTTCCTACCATTCCTGCAAGTTGTGGGGCATCAAATTTGTTGTACAGGACAGTTACTGTCATATTATTTTCACTGCCTCCATATGGATTTTGATTTGCTTCCTGTTCAAACAATAACATATCAAATCAGTAACTGACATGATTGTGTGAAGAAAAATAAAACAACCACAATATTTTAATACTTCTTTGCCTTACCTGCATTTGATTACACATTTCACTATAAAAATGTGCCATTGTTGGAGGTTGGTAAAATACAATATGCCTAATACCCTTAATCAGAGGGCGTCTAAAGAAGTGAAACCTCTCACTGTACAACAGAAATTGTACCTGACCATGATAAAACATATCTCTAGCTCTTGCTATTTTCCCTTCCTGAAATTGATAGTTTTGTTAGATCCAGCAAAAAGACTGAAGGATTAATTCATTCACATTCATGATTGATTACCTTGGAGTATTCACATATTTGTACAAAACTGAGGTCTTGTCGGCGTAAGTAATTTCTAATACGAACAAAATCAAAATATGATGGCACATAGATCATAGTTTGGCCCATGAGTGGATCTGTATGATCTGGTAAAACTTTCCGAGTGAGGAAGTCAAATCTTACATCTAAACTTTGGGAGACTGAAATTGCGTCTAGTCTCTGGAATACCTGAATTTTTACAACAAACGTGTCAAAATTATCACAAGGCAGGATTCATGTGAAAAATAAAATAATAATACATCAATATTCAGCACTTACCTGAGGTAATTGAACTACAACATGACAAATAGTCCCAGTTGTTTTAGGATTGACAACACGCACTGATCCTGCATAGTTACTACATCTTTTATTTAAAAGAGAACTGAACTCTATTAAGGGTACTGAACTGAACAAGATTGTTTGTCGATAGTGCTTTGACCATCCATTCACTGCCCAGGGTCTTACACGAGAAAAATCAGTACCATGAGATTCTTTGGGTAGTAAATGGAAGTGATCCCAGACATGTAGAAGGTGATCCCAATTCTGTTTGCACAAGGACAGAGACAAAATGTAACCAGATCTCTAAATACAAAATTCCAATAAGTCTCATTGATATAATACCTGCATAAAGAAGACTTCTGATTGATCTAGAATGACCATTTCCAGGGATGCTAAGAAATCATAATCCCTTTCTCCTTCACCTTCTGCTCCAACAATCATCCTCAAACCCAGAGGGGATGAAACAATAATATCAGCAGAATAAAAGTCAGCATAGAGCTAAATATGAGAAAGTAAAGCATTATTATAATACTGGATTAGGGTGGAACTAAAGCAAGATAAATTTTTGAAGCCCTACCTTGACACATTTTTTAGTCAGGGTCAACCCCAAGCGGAAAGTATCATCTGTATTCCCAGAAAATAAAGCTTCATAATCCTCAGGACGACGATTTTTTTTGGGCAAAGCAAGCTCTCCTCCAGTGAACTCCTCTTCAAAACGTTTTCGGTTCATTACCTCATTTCCTTTCCCTTCATTACGCACTAATAGTTTAATAAGCATTTCCACAACTCTGAAATGTTAAGACAAAGATTTAATGGGAGAAAAATAAAAGAATGAGGAACTAAATAGACAAGGGCCATCAAACCCAACATACCTGCGAGCCTGTTCACGGAATGGTACAACTATGAGAACTTTGGGCCTCACCAAGCCCTGATCCCGAAATGCATCTGGTATGTCAGCAGGGTTCTTTTTATTTAAGCGTGCATTGTGATGCAATACCGTATTCCTAGTCTTGATAATGTGATTAGCAGCATGAAGGCAATATGCAAATCTTACTTCTTCACCATTTTCTAAAGTTCTTTCTGGATAATATAAGTCCTGATAATTGTTCATCACAGAGAAAAGCTCCAGTTGAAGTGGAGTAAGAATTTCTGACTCGTTGCCAGGAGTGATATTGTCTGCATTGGCTTTTGGAATGGTGTCATGTAACTGCACTTTCACGTGGAGTTGGTTTAAATCGACATGACGAGCCCGAACAGGCATCTTCCCTGGCTGAGCATAGACTTTAGGCTCTTCCAATGTAAGCTTGGAGTCAGTATTAACATTTGGAGGTGAACTGGGGATGTCAGGTATTGTTACTACTAGACGGCCTAAGGATTTCCATTGAACCTCTTCAACTTTGGTTGGGGGCTTCGTCTGACCAAGGAACTCAGCAGCTTCTTCAGAAAGATCACGACAAATGTGGGCAGCGAATGGATCATCTTCAGTTACCAAGGCATCCTCCTGTAATATTGACAAAATAAATGCAAATATGAATTGAACGAACTAGACAAAAAGGACGCTTATTGAATCAAGATGGCACAAACCTGTGAGTCAATAGGTGTTATTTCAATGTGTTCATCATCCGCTTCAGAATCGTCTTCTTCTTCATCGGCTTCACCAACGTCATCAGAATCCACAGCGTCATCGGAGGTGACAGACTCGCCCTCGTTGTCATCAGTGTTAACCACATCTTCAGCGTCTTGAAGATCATCATCATCGTCATCACCTTCCTCCTCCTCAGCCAGCTCACTTCCAGCATCCGAATCGGATTCATCCTTCAAACTGTCAGTGTCTGGCAGCCCTGTCTGGGACGGGTTATGTTGCCCTCGGTCTGCCTCCGCGTCCGAGTCCCCTTCTCCCTCCTCGTCGAGATCGCTGTCATCCTCGTCGTCCTCTTCACTGTCGCTGTCGACGGCCACATTGTTCTTGCGCTCCTTCTTGGAGAAGGTCGACAAAAGCTGCGAGTAGGCGTCCACTTCTTCCTCGCTCTCTGCGTCTGCGGCGGGGACGTCCTCCACCTTCTGGCGCTTGGCGAACCTCTCGTCCGGCTGGTCCGCCAGTCGCCGTTTGTACTGCTCCTTGTGCTTGATGTCCCTGCCATTCGTCGACCTGTCCTTTTTCGCGGCCGGCTTCGGTTTGTTGAACTGTTTTCCACCTTTTTGGTGGGACTTTCGTCGTCCTTTCCCACGTGCCATGATGTTGGTGTCGTCTGGTCTGCTGGTCCGGCGTGTTTGTTTGCTTACAGTGCACCAACTGGACCGGAACTAAAGTCACCGGAGAACGCCACCTCACAATGTTTTACCAGGAACAAAAAGCTTCGGCCCTACCACAGATGCACTTAATATTTTGCAACAGCAGCACGTAATATTGAAAAGGCCAAATCTTTTCCGACTTTTTCAGACGTTATTTGTGTTGTAATGTTGGTAAAGAAACCACCTACTCGTTTCCCCCTCCACCCGACGTCAAAACAAAATCTGTCGTCTGCTATTGTATTGTCGTCTGCAAGAGAAGTGCCTAAGTTGCCTGCTGTCTGCTGAAAACAATTAAAGCTGACAGAAAACCTGGAGTTTACGGTTCGAAAAGGGACTTTCAGTCATTGATACTGTAGGTCACTCAAAAGATTCTGTTCTGAACTCCAAATCAACGCGTGGTCAGAATGTCATCAGATCAACAGTATGTACTGCAATATTGTGAACATAGTTCTGCTATGATTCTGTGTTTTTACAAGGATCAAATTTATAATTTATCTTCAGGCTGAACACCGCCCTGTTCAAGACAATCGAACAGCATCAGTGGCCTATTGTTTACCGTGATGAGTACAATATCAAGCTGATGGGTTTAGAAAAGCTCCACCCGTTTGATTCCCAGAAATGGGGCAACATATTTCAGGTGAGTTCAAAATAAAGTCAACCAGAACATGCTTTGATATAGAAATGTACAATTTAAAAGTATTCAGAGGTTGCAGTTAAAACCCTAGGACATGCAAAAGCCATGCCTTCACTGACCTAACTTCTTTCACAGTGTGTCTGTTTGTTGTGTTTTTACAAATTGCTATTTATTTTTTGGTCTTTTGATTTAAGATTTTAAAAAAAGAAGGCCTTGTTGAGGAACAATCCATTGTTCAGCCCAATCTGGCTAAAAAAAATGACCTGCTTGTTGTTCACACTGAAGATTACTTGAAATCACTCAAGGTAACTTATTGAGTTTGAAAAAAAAAATCATATAAATCTTGGCAATGGTGTTAAAAATAAATTTCTCACAGTATGCCTGTGTTTTTTCCCCCTTTTTTAACAGAGAAGTTACATTATAGCTAAGATAACCGAAATATTACCGTTAGCTCTAATACCAAATTATTGCCTACGAAAGAGATATCTTAAACCAATGAGGTATACCACACTGCATAATTTATTGCTTTTTTTTCTTTCCCCTGCTGTACAGGTTACTTATTTTTTGTGTTTCTTTTCTGTGAATGAAATACAGATATCAGACAGGAGGATCTATTTTAGCTGGGCATCTAGCTTTGGAACGCGGCTGGTCCATCAACCTGGGGGGTGGCTTTCACCATTGTTCAAAAGATCGTGGAAGCGGTTTTTGCCCTTATGCTGACATTTCATTATTAATTCAATTTTTACTGAAGTATGAGAAGAATAGAGTATCAAGAGTAATGATTGTGGATTTAGATGCACATCAGGTGTGTCAAGGAAAACCATCGCCTTTATCACCATGATCAACTCATGAAGTTACAGATATGTTTTTTTTTGTTTTGTTTCCAGGGAAATGGTCATGAGAGAGACTTTTATGGTCTTGACAATGTGTATGTGATGGATGTTTACAATAGCAAGATTTATCCCAGAGACCGTGGTGCTAAATTAGGCATTCAATGTAACATAGAGTTGCGTCCTTTGACTTCTGACCATGAATATCTAGATCTAGTTGAAGTGTAAGTACTATTTCCAATACAAATTTGATTACTTGAATAACTTGAGACAGAACCTTTTCCTTTTGATATTAACAGACATTTGGAACAATCATTAAGAGAGTTTCGTCCAGATATTATAGTCTACAATGCTGGGACAGATATATTAGAGGGTGACCGCCTGGGCTGTCTTTCTATTTCTCCTGCTGTAAGTAACCAAGCTGTCTAAACGGTACCTTGAAAAAATCTAGAAAAATTAATGAAAGGTTGCTTGACATTATTTTCTGTCCTCTCCTTCTAACAGGGAGTTAGAAGGCGAGACCAGTTGGTGTTTATGAAAGCTCGGGAAAGGAGAATCCCTATTGTGATGCTGACAAGTGGGGGCTATCAGCCATGCACAGCCAAAGTTATAGCAGATTCCATTCTAAACCTGCACACAATTGGTCTCATAGATGGGCCGGACAAAGGCAAAAAAGATTGAAGGTAAAAAAGTTTTTTTTTTTTTTTAACCATTTTCAAGAAGCCAGATATCAAATGTTTTAATGAAAGATATCAATTTAAAAAATATAGTACACATTTTTTTCCCCATGGGAAGATAAATATCTCTTACAATGTATTTCAAAAATTCAAATTAGAAAGCAACACAATTTGACAATTTCAATAAAGGGTTATTTATGATCATGGATGGTGAAAAGTTCCCCTTTCTTCCTAAGTAATTCACAGTGACACAAAAACATCCTCATTACAGGTGTCCAAGAACAGCAGTGAGAAAATATCATTATAAAAGTTAGGATAATATTCACAGGCTCTGCGGCAATCAGGGGTCCAGTTTATCTCCAGCAACTTTGGTTGAATTTTGTCTTTGTTTCTCGGACAGTGCTGCCAGTCTAACATAAGGTCCACTGCGTACACAGCTCTGGACTGAGGGCTTGGCGCTATTCCACAAGGCGGGGCCTTCAGGGCTGCACACTCAAACACTTCACGCAACATTTCAAAGATATCTTTTTCAACTTCTTTCCAAGGGTGACTAGGGTACTGCTTCTCAAATTCATCAATAAATTCGTTGTGGAGCATCTTACAAAGTTGAGCTTCAGTATAGTTCATCACTGTGAAGTGCTTTTCATAATCATCAAATTCAGACAGGTCAAAGGACTTGTTGGCAAATCGCAGGAAGAAGTTGCGATACGCATAAACTTCTAGAGGTTTCACACTTTTTAGGAGGACAACATATCGTACATCAAACTTTACTCTGCCAATATCAGGTCTACAAAACAGAACTGGGTTGTGCAAGTATTTCTGAGCAATCTTGGGGCCAGAGAAGGGCAGTCTAAGAATGTACCTCAAATTATCTGTAACATGCATATCAAGACCTCTTGCCAGGTTCCATGGCTTACAAATCCACAAATTGTCCAAACCTTTCTCTTCCCTTTGCTGGTAATAACTTACAAACTTGGGGAGCTCTGTTTTCAAGTTAAAAGTAGTAGGAAGCCATGAGGGGAAGGTTTCCAGTGTATCTTCATCGTAAGTTTTGACACCTTTCCCAAGTTTTCTGCGACATACCACACTAAGCAGATCTTTTACGGTAAGGACATGCTCAAAGGGAAATTGATTGATGAACTTATGTGGAGTTGATTCACTTAACTCTTTGAACTTTTTGAAATGGGTTGTTGTCCACAGAATGTCAGCATCAGTTTCATTATCAATAAAAACGAACTGAGGATGGTTCAGGTACTCATGAATGTATTTATATTCTGCAAAAACTTTCCAAACTTTAGTTTTGTCATTATCTTTAGGAGTCTGAGTAAGAATATCCAAATCAGGAAGTGTCTCTACTTCATGTCCATCAAGAAAATATTTTGGTGCTGGTTCTTCCTGGACAAAGCATTGATTAGTGAACTCATTTGGAAACCAAGGAATGAGCAGAGCCTTCTTAGAGTCAGAATCAGTTTGCAAACAGCCTTCAATGAAATTTCTCGTCACTTCTCCATTAAGTTCTACATCACGGATTGGGAAAAGAATAGAGTAGGTGACCTGCTCAGGACTGAACACAAATGGAACCACGCGGAAGTTGGGATCAGACGAATGTTGAATTGCAGAGCCAAACTCATCCATTATATACCACACAGGCAACCTGTCCTCGACATTCATGTTGTTGGCTACAGAATAAGTTTGGCTGTAGTTCCACATATACTTTGATACAAATTCTCTTGCTTCATCGACAGACACATCTTCATCGCATCCCATGAGCCTAGCCATTCTCTCTAACAGTCCGGGGACATGCCGCAAATGTTTCTGAGCATCACTAGCAGTAAAAGTCCAGGCATGATCAATCAGATAGATATGGCTTGGATCTGATGCACTTATCCCGTTCTGCGTCGACACAAAGACGCTGTACACCGGATCGCCTTCTTCACGTTCCTTGGACTCGTAGTCCACCATGTACATCGAAAACTTCTCACCAGCATCAAACACCTGGTTCACGAGTTTCTGAAAGAGAGTTTCCCAAAGATGCTGAGGCACGGCAGCGAGCTCCAGCTGCGGCTTGTGAAGCGTCAGAAAATCTTCAAATGTGAGGGAATCCATCTGAAAAATCAGAACAAATGACAAATTAATGTTCAGTTATTATTATGGTCCCCAATGGGACTTTCTAACCTAGCTCATCATGTGGTCATGGGTTATTCCTCTCTCACAGACGATAGCAAGGCTATTGCCGCTTGCCAAACACGAAAGAAACAAAATTACAATCCAATGAAAATGAACATATAAAATTACCCTGAAAAGGTTTCAAAGACGTCCCAAAACAAATATTGTCGTGTTCTGCTCCAACCTCGTCTCGTCGGGCACAGCCTGGCAGTTCTCCCGAAAGTAGGTGTGACGTGTATATCTGCCCGAAGGACCGCGCTGAGAAGCTTTTGTTGTCAATGTTCAAATAACTTTAGAAAGCTGTGGCATTTTCCAGCGTACTTGCTTGTAATGTTGAAAACCACATGATTTGAATTTGATGTCTTTTTACATTTTCGTCCCCGGCGGAACCTCCCTGATACTGTGCATGAAAAAACTTTGGTTGTGCAGGTTGGCACGCTCAAGCCTTCGGTTCAAACCGGCCAATCACGGAGCGCGTTGCAACTTCCTTTCCACTCCCGACGTGGTTGCAACGAGCTCGCTGATTGGTCGCGACGAGGCCAACCGTCAAAACCGTGCCCCGCGATTGGTCTGACGGGCTGCCTTGCGTCAGTGAGCGCAAGACCGTGCCCCCGCATTGTTGATCGCGCAAACGTTTCGGCAACTCTCTCCACAGAGCCAAATTTTTAACCCCGTCCGGCCCGGAATTGCAAGCGACAAGCGTCTGCGTGCCGCGGTACTCGCTCGGGGATCGTCTTGGATTTTACAGTGTTGTCTCTGTTGAGGTAAGTCGTGGCTGGCCTTTGCGCGAAGGCCTGGCCTTTGTGCTGCAAGGCGGACCGCCGCCTCTCCCGCTCGCGCCTCGTCTCGCCAAACTCGTTCCAGTGCTCCCATTGCTGTCAGTTTGGCGACGGGGAGACGCGCCCCGCCGTGCCGCCCCGCATCGTCCGTTCGCTGTCCGTCAATCCTTTCCCCGGCCCGGCGGCCGTTTTTGTCGAGGCGCGCGCGAAGTGTGTACGGACCCGGGCGACGGTTGGTGACTCGGCCGTCGCCTCGCACGCCTCCAACAGGTGGCCCTTTTCGCTGTAACCGGCCGTTGCGGGCCTCGCGGGCGGGTCCGGTAGTGCCTGGTGCAGCCCTTGGTCCCCGTGTTCGAGGCCCTTTGCGCTGTGCGCCCTGACTCGGCCGCAGGCGCGCCTCGCCTGTCTAACCTCTCTGGCCGTGTGTTGCCGCGCTGCCCGCACCGCCCGCGGTGTGGCCGGCTGTCTGGGACACTGTCCGCACTGCAGTGGGTTGCCAGTGCAGCCCGCGGCTGCCGGGACACACTGCTAGCTCCGCGCGGCCCCTCGCACCTCTGTTCCATTCATTACTCTGCAGGGTTGCTGCTGCTGGCCTTGTTCTGTCAATGTTGAGACCGTCTGATCCTTGTTCGGTGCAGTGCAGTGAAAGGGTGTCATTCTGTTTCAGAGTTAACCAGCTTCATGATGCCGTCTCAGTCTGAAAATGAGAACAGACTTCGACGGTTCAAGAACAAAGGAAAGGATTGCGATGTAAGTCACATTCAATGTCCTATCTTTTGTCTGTGTCTTCTGTGTATGTACTAACGTTACTTTTGTGTTCAGGAAATGCGGAGGCGTCGTAATGAGGTGTCAGTGGAGTTGCGCAAGGCTCGCAAGGATGAACAGCTGCAGAAGAGACGCAACTTAGCCCTGGATGAGGAGCCTACTTCGCCTCTTCAAGAGAGCAATGTCCAGGCTAAATCTCCCCTCATGTCCATCGCTGACATCCTCATTGGTAAGTGTTTCTGATCACTAATACATCTTACCAAGTCCCTGCTTTGGGCCACTGCCTGCATGCTCAATGGCTGTTAATGAAGAGACACAGTCTGTGTCTCTTTCTGATCAGTGTTTACTATAGCGTAGTGTGATTGGTACTAATGTGTGGTCTATCCTTCAGGTCTTCAAAGCCCAGATGAGAACCAGCAGCTGATTGCCGTCCAAGCCGCTAGAAAGACACTCAGCAGAGAACAGAATCCTCCCATTGATGACATGATCAGGGCCGGTGTTGTCCCATACTGCGTACGTGCTCTAGAGAACTTCAACAAGTAAGTTGTGATGTGTAGCTAGTTTCAAATTGTTGGTTGTTGCAACCACTTTCCTGTTGTGTTACCAGAGCTGTGTCGTTAATCCAACACTCTTTATTCCAGCCCTGGTCTCCAGTTCGAAGCTGCCTGGGCTCTGACCAATGTTGCATCTGGAACTTCAGAGCAGACTGCCACTGTCGTGAAAGCTGGTGCTGTGCCTCGACTTGTGCGGTTGCTTGGTCCTGGCAACCCTCCCAACGTAGTGGAGCAGGCTGTCTGGGCGTTGGGAAACATTGCTGGTGATGGTCCCACAAACAGAGACCTTGTACTCAGTAGTAACGCTCTGCCGTCACTGTTGGAGCTGGTGACCCCTGAGACTCCGGTCAGTTGCCTGTCAATTGTGTTTGAAACTTACGAGTTGCCTTTATTGTTGTTTCATGACTTATTTCTACTTTCAGGTTGCTTGTTTGAGAAACATTGTTTGGACCTTGTCAAATTTGTGCCGAAACAAGAACCCTCCACCATCCTTTGAAATGGTCAAACCATGCCTGCCAGTATTCAGCAAACTGTTGCACTATTCTGATAATGATGTAATCTGTAAGTATCTACACTGTTGAACCAAGTGGTGCAGAGCAATCATCTGCACTTTGGATTTGTAGAGTTTGCAGTCTCCACACTTGTAGAGCTCCTATCTCTTGGCATGGTGCAAATGTGGAGAACTAAGAGTGGAGACTGCCAATTCTGCACTTCCAAGTGCCAATTGCGTTCAAGCAATTCCATTTTTAAATTCCAAGTAGTTTCAGAGTGTGTCTGTGCCTCTTTCGGTGTTCCTTGTTCCCTGTGTGACCATACAATGTTCTTGTTTGCAGCTGACGTTTGTTGGGCCCTGTCCTACTTGACCGATGGAACCAATGACAAGATCCAGGCTGTTGTCAACACCGGCCTTGTCCCGAGACTAGTGCAGCTCCTGGACAGCAGAGAGGTCTTGGTCATCACTCCCGTTCTCCGCACTGTCGGTAACATTGTTACTGGCAATGATGTTCAGGTCAGTATCATTGTTTTTTTCTCCCCCCTCTGATGCATGATAGAGTGTGCCCGGTTTCTCATCCGATTTTCTTTCAGACTGATGCTGTTCTTCAAGCGCAAGTCTTGCCTCGTCTGGGCAAACTTCTGTGCCACAGTCGTCCCAATTTAGTGAAGGAAGCTGCTTGGACCCTTTCTAACATTACTGCTGGTAACGTTGAACAGATTCAACAAGTCATAAACTGTGGTCTCATTCAGCCTCTTATTGCTGTCCTGCGTCAGGTAAGGCCCTACACAAGTTGAATTTATTTTTATTTTTTGCAAGACTTTTATTTTTGCCGTATGTTTATTAATTGAACTTTGTCCGACAGGGTGACTTCAAGTCTCAGAAGGAAGCTGCCTGGGCTGTCACAAATATCACGTCTGGGGGCAGCATCGGACAGCTGTCCATTTTAGTTCAAGAAGGCGCCCTCCATTGCATGTGCATGCTCCTCGACTCCAAGGACTACAAGTGTGTCAAGGTTGTCATGGATGGAATCGTCAACATCCTCGCTACAGCAGAGAAGACCGGTGATTTGGATAAGGTTGCCATGCTTGTTGAAGAGTGTGGTGGCTTGGATAAAATCGAGGCCTTGCAGAACCATGAAAATGAAGAAATCTACCAGAAGGCTCTCAACATTATTGACACTTACTTCTCATCAGGGGTAAGGACTTTTTATACGATGCCTAACTTGCTCTTGTCTTGTGGTTTTGTCATCTAACTGTTCGATGTCTTCCTCCAGGAACCTGATGACCCCAACCTCGCTCCTCAACAAGTGAATGGACAACTTGCCTTCAACTCTGGATCAGCAGTTCCTGAGGGTGGATTTTCTTTTTAAGCCCTTTAATGTGTTCATTCTAATTGTGATATAAATTATTTGTCAATCCAGTTGTTAAACTTGAATAGTGGACCAATCATTTAGGCTATTATTATGAAATTTGGAGAAGCTGAGTCCATGATGGGGTTTTCTTGTTGGACTGTTGATTTAATTGTTTTTTTTTTTACTTATGAAATGTCCATTGTTTTCCTTTTTTATGTCTTTGGGCCCAATTTTTACTTGAAACTGTCTTGTTAGGTAGTGCCATGAGTGAAGTTTTAAATACCTGTAATACTAAATCATTAAAGCCTGTCAGTACGTACTCTTGTCTTTACTTGTCACATCCTAAAGAACAGTAGACATCTCCCACAGCACTGTTCTAGATACTTGTGCATCAGATAGATGAAAGCAAAGATCCAAAAGTTGCTTGATACATTCATAATGAAATGACTGTTCTGCTTTGAGGAGCAGTGAAATACTGGCACTCCTACTGATGTGAGAATTGTCGTCTTTTTAGGGCATCATGCTTTTGTTGTTTGCGATATCTTCTCGCTAAAAGTTAGATCGTCTCCTCAGTATAGCTGGGGGCAGAGTGGTCCCACACACCAATTTTGTGCATGGGGTATTGACGTTGATCGGGGAGAGGACTGATTAGAGCGGAACCGCGTGAAGACTCCATGCGCAAGAGACACTCCCCATTTCTTTTTCTTTTCAGAAATTGGCCCTTGGGAGCCGCGGGCTAAACTCTCTAGGCGTGTTTAAACGCATGCACATGACAGAAAGGGTTTCTAATGCAGAGCTCTATATGTTGCAAAGAGAGGGGTTGCGTGATTGATTGATTGATTAGAGTGCAACCTGCGCAAGGAGTATTGCCAAGGTCGTTTCTTTGACATGATTTCTGTTATGAGAGGGAGAGCCAGCAGGCGTGGATCCTTGGGGGTGGCGTTGGGGGAGTCCCCCCCCTCCTTCCCCTGGCAGCGAGGAAGCCGCCTGGAAGGCAGACAAGAAGCTGTACTTTGCCTGCCCCTGTAGGCCCTGTAGTGAGTCAACTTTTGTGACATCGCCGCCATCCCCCATTATGAACCCATCTCTGGATCCGCCCCTGAGGCCCTGAACAGAGTGTCAGGGAAAGGCATGCAAGCCGTCTCACAGGCAACGTCATCTCGACACCCATCAATTCATTCAACTTTCCACCAGTGGCGGATCCAGAGCTGGCCCGAGGGAGGGGCAAAGTAGCACTTTTTGCCTACCTACAAGGGCGAAGTGTGTTTCTTTTTGTTTGCCTTCCAGGCGGCTATCTGGGGGCCATGGGAGATCAGTGCCTCATTCATGAATTCATGAATGTGGGAAGCTGTTCCCCCCTCGAGAGAGACATTTTTTTGTCAAAACTTGGTCCATTTTGATTGCCTGATTCTGATTGCCTGCTCTCCTTGGGTTGGCCCGGAACGTCGCCTGGACACGCGTGGAGGACCCAATTGGCGGGCGTCATTGAGGGGCGGAGTGCCCCATTGTGGCGCAACGCCTGGGGAGGAGAAAGGGGGAGGGGGGGGGGCGGAAAGGATAAAATAAAATGGTGCGCAGTGCAGTGGTTGGCCGGACTGGCGCGGCGCCCCGCGTGCCGCGATGGACTACTGGCAGCAGCGGACTGATTCCGAGAGTCCGCGTCCTCGTCGCTCCGTCTCTCTCGCACCTGCACGGCTCGCCCAGGCACGCCCCTCGAGTGCGAGAGAGACGGAGCGACTGCCGAGGACGCGGAACGCGGAAGGAAGCGAGCAGGTTTATTTAAGAAAGGCCGATATTATATACACGCAGCGTGTACGCAACAATGGTAAAAATTATTTAAACGCCGCGTGGCAACAATATATACATTAGAACAACACACGCAGCGTGTCTGAAATCACAGAAATATTATGTGCACGCCGGAAGGGCCTTTCCACGCCGGATAGGCTTTTCCGGCGTGCACATAATAAAAGCAGCTGTTTCCTTCACGCAGCGTGTCTGCAAGCGCTCTTAAATTATTTGCACGCTGGAAAATCTTTTTCAACACTGGAAAAGCTTTTCCGGCGTGTCTATAATAAAGGAGGGTGTTATTTTTACGCAGCGTGTTTGCAATTTCTTATTTTATTATTTGCACTCTTGTTTTGAGGCCAGCTCGGAGATAGAGATGCCTAGGAGGAAGCCGACCGGGTGTGTCGCCTCGTGGTCGAGTGGATACGTGCCTGCATGCCACTTTTTTGGCCCGGGTTCGAAACTTGGAGAATTTTTTCAAATGATGCGTGCACATAATTTTGTGGCATGCAAGGGACACGCCGCGTTTAAATAATAAATTTTATATTGCGAACACGCGGTTTGTCCTTAACTAAGTTAATTCTTATGTGCACGCATCATTTGAAAAAATTCTCCAAGTTTCGAACCCGGGCCAAAAAAGTGGCATGCAGGCACGTATCCACTCGACCACGAGGCGACACACCCGGTCGGCTTCCTCCTAGGCATCTCTATCTCCGACCTGGCCTAAAAACAAGAGTGCAAATAATAAAATAAGGAGTTGCAAACACGCTGCGTAAAAATAACACATTCCTTTATTATAGGCACGCCGGAAAACCTTTTCTGGCGTGTAAATAATTTAAGGGGGCTTGCAGACACGCTGCGTGCAAAAAACGGCTGTTTTTATTATATACACGCTGGAAAAGCTTTTCCTGCGTGTATATAATGAAAATGGCGTTATTTGCACGCGGCGTGTATTTAAGTTGCTTTTTATTATATAAACGCTGCGTGTCTATAATCACTTCGTTTAAGAAAAGCAGGACCTTACAACGACCCCCTTGGATTTCGCTGATTTTTTGGTGGTTAGTAGTCCCCCATGGTGGGAGTTCATGGCCAAAATTTCAGACCTCAAAAAAATTTTCTCTGGGAGATATGGGGATTTTAAGTTTTTTTGGGTATTTTTACACTGATTTTGGGTATTTCTTACATCTCAGGGACTTTTTGTCCGATTGGTTTCAGATTCGGGTTGTAGCTTCAAAATTGAACGGGGAACACGATCGTGCCGTCAGATTTGACATAAAATAATTTTTTCATGGGGAAAACTCACTTTTTCTCGAAAAATTACATAAAAAGTCCCAAATCTTGGGATTTTGCAGTTTAAAGTACCCGATCTCTTTGAAACTGGTCTCATCTTACGCAGAAGGGTCCGCTGAATCCAAAAATCACAACCCTAGATTTTTCCGACGAACCGTTCCGGAGATATTCCACTTCAAAGTCAGGCAATTTTTTTTACGGCCTAAAAGTTGTGCGATTTTGCTGGGCTTTTCATTCTGAGGCATTGGGAGGTGAGTTCCAGTGACGCTGGCCTTGTGCGCCGGCTGGTGTTCCCTAACGTCCCCTTTTTAGCGCCTGCCAGGTAGGCGAAGCCGTACCGCAACACATGCGTATCCGACTGGTGGCCTATCTCGCCCCTGACGCAAGCTGCTACCGCCGCAAGCAAAGGCACTCCGCGCTCCGTTCGCTGGACCAGCTGCTTCCCCTTCCCTGACTCCACTGCCCCTGGTCCTTCCGGTCTTCTCTTCACCACCTCCCTCTCCCTCTCCTATCATCAGCCCCTGCCTGCATTCTGCCGGTAGCGTACCGTACCCCCTACCGTACCTCCTTTGTTTACATTGTGTCGCACGCGTCGCTGTCTTCGCCTAGGACTTCGCGGACTCTGCAAACTGAAGTGTGTACATAGCACACTCTTATTAGAGCATGCTTCCAAGTACACTCTTATTTAAAGCATACTTGCTAGGCACACGCTAAAGTAGAGTGTGCCTGGCAAGTACACGCTAAATAAGTGTGTACCTTCCGTGAACACGCTAAAATACACTCGATAAGTCCTATCTAAAAGCATGGGCCAGTTTAAGTGTACCTGCCAGGTACACTCTTATTTAGCGTGTACATGCAATGTAAACTCTATTTTAGTGTGTACCTGGCAAGTATGCTGTAAATAAGAGTGTACTTGGAAGCATGCTCTAATAATTATTAGAGCATGCTTCCAAGTACACTTTTATGTACACACTTCAGTTTGCAGAGGAGCTGAGTTTCTTTAACCACTCGGTTCTTGTACGACTGTGGTTGTCATCCGCAGCATGGAGGACTCAGGTGTCTTTTGGGATTAATTTGAGGAGAAATCTGTGTTTTATTTGACTAATGTTAAGTTCCTGCCTTCAGGGCCGTAAACCGGGGAGTCATTGGGTGCCGAAGAACCAGAGGGAAGTGGAAACAGCGAGGGCGTAGTGACCAAGAGTGGGACTCTAGGAGGGCGAAGCGGCTGAGCCAGCGAACGCACGGAGCGCGGAGTGCCTTTGTTTGCGGCGGCAGCGGCTTGCGTCAGGGGCGAGATAGGCCACCAGTCGGATACGCATGTGTTGCGGTACGGCTTCGCCTACCTGGCAGGCGCTAAAAAGGGGACGTTAGGGAACACCAGCCGGCGCAAAAGGCCAGCGTCACTGGAACTCACCGCCCAATGCCTCAGAATGAAAAGCCCAGCAAAATCGCACAACTTTTAGGCCGTAAAAAAAAATTGCCTGACTTTGAAGTGGAATATCTCCGGAACGGTTCGTCGGAAAAATCTGGGGTTGTGATTTTTGGATTCAGCGGACCTTTCTGCGTAAGATGAGACCAGTTTCAAAGAGATCGGGTACTTTAAACTGCAAAATCCCAAGATTTGGGACTTTTTATGTAAGTTTTCGAGAAAAAGTGAGTTTTCCCCATGAAAAAATTATTTTAGGTCAAATCTGACGGCACGATCGTGTTCCCCGTTCAATTTTGAAGCTACAACCCGAATCTGAAACCAATCGGACAAAAAGTCCCTCAGATATAAGAAATACCCAAAATTAGTGTAAAAATGCCCAAAAAAACTTAAAATCCCCATATCTCCCAGAGAAAATTTTTGTGAGGTCTGAAATTATGGCCATGAACTCCCACCATGGGGGACTACTAACCACCAAAAAATCAGCGAAATCCAAGGGGGTCGTTGTAAGGTCCTGCTTTTCTTAAATAAACCTGCTCAGCGCTCGTTGGCGCCGCCGCGTCTCGGCGCTCCGCGCGCAGCAGACTGATTCCGAGAGTCGCTGTCGTCGCTCTGTCTCTCTCGCACTCATGGGGCGTCCCGCATAGGTGCGAGAGAGACAGGGCGACGAAAACGACTCTCGGAATCAGTCTGCAGTGGCGCCTCTCTGGTGGCGCCGCGCGCTCGGCGTGGGAGAGTGCGCGGCGCCGGCGTGCAGACGGACTCATTCCGAGAGTCGTCCTCGTCGCTCCGTCTCTCTCGCACCCATGCGGGACGCC